GCTCCTGCTCCTGCTCCTGCTCCTGCTCTGCTCCTGCTCCTGCACCTGCTCCTGCTCCTGCTCCTGCTCCTGCTCCTGCTCCTGCTCCTGCTCCTGCTCCTGCTCCTGCTCTTGCTCCCTACTCCGCCTCCGCTGCCGTTGCTGCTCCTTCTCGTCCATCTGCTCCTCCACCACCACCACCACCTCCTCCTCTCCTCCTCCTTCATACCTCTCCTGCCCACTCCATCTTGATGTCCAGCAGCCTCAACATCATCACCCTCATATCCAGCACCACTGAGAAGGTCGAGCCTCTCAGTGTCCGGCGGCAACCCGGCCGGGCCGGCCCTTTGCCGGGTTGGAAACCGTTATAGAAACACCGTTACGCACGAAGAGGCAACATCAAGGGACGCCGCCGCCATGATCCTCTCGATGATCCCGGCACTGAAGCTTGTTCGAGGGTAAGAGATGAAGCCGAAAGAGAGGGAGAGATGGAGGTTGATGATGGAGGTTGATGATGGAGGTTGATGATGGAGGTTGATGGAAGCGTTGCTCTGAGTTGTGATGACGAGCTGGGAGGTAGCAGTGAGAGAGGATATGTAGACCAGGTGGGATGCGAGGTTTGGGTATGCAACAACACGTTTCAAACTGGGAGAAGGCGACGAGATGCTGTGAAAGTGTGAGAGTGAGAATTGAAGCAAGCAGCTTCTTGATTATCAATGATCAAGTGTGGGGTCAGGGGAGTGGGAGAACAGGAGAAGGCAGCCTAATTTAGAGTTCGTTATCCACAAAGGATGCTGAGGTGTTTTGTAGTTTGAACAAGGACTGAGCGAGATACGGGTTGATTCTTGTTGGTCGCTATGCATGCTGCTGTGTTCGTTCTATATCGGTCTTCGGTAGTTGATATGTGTCAGGAGGCAACACACAAAAATGTGTCTTGGGTGGGTGGGTTGTTTATGCATTTGATGTGTCGTTTTGTCTTGTCCTGTCCTGCCCTTTGCAAACTTATGTGCATAATATCCATATCAGCTTCACATGAATGTTCATCCTATGGTCGGTCTCTGATCGGGTTGCAGAACCATCCTCACCCCGGATCCCGTTTACGAGGCATACGTTGCCAACGCTGGCATTGACGGTAAGAGATCAAGAGTGGAGAAGAATGCAGAAATTTTATTGCTTTGATGTTCCCCGCGTTGTTATCCTCAAACCCAATCATGAGATGTTCGCAGTGCTGTAATGTCCTGACCACCTCGATAACAACAGGAAGCACCGACTTCGACATCGTCGACAACTATTCCTGCGGAGCCCCACCATGCGGATCCTGGACTTTCCCTCAGGTCTATGCGGAAAGTCTCATTGGATTTAATCTGACAGCTTCTTCTAAAAGGCTGCCTACACACCCTCTCCCCTCCCTTTCAGCACTGATCCCGCTGCCACCGTGCCAGGACCTGCTGCCGATCCCTCGAGCATCTACAACCAGTTCAGTTAAATTAGCTTGTGATATGTAGGAATAGGCTGGTGTTGGGGGAATGAAGCTCGTTGCATTGCTTGAAGCAAAGATTCTATTCTGAATCACACAAACAGTAAAGATGCTTGAGATGTGTAAGAAAGTGCGGAGGCCCAAAAGGATGAAAATTCCACACTTTCCCTGTGCTTTATTGCTCTGTTAACGAGAAGGATCTCATATGTATAGCTGACTGCGTGACATGCACCCTGTAAGAGGACACACTTTACTCCTCCTGAATCTTGGGAGGAGGGGGGTTGACCATGTCGTTGACTGCCCCCTGAATGAAGTTCACGCCTGCCATTGCAGATTCAACGAGGCAAACAAGGTAACGGATGATCCTAGCTTACCATGGGGATGTGTGAACCACAACAGAGCACACCCTGCTGCCGCCCCAAAGCGAGCGAATCCCGCAATCTGCTGTGAGAACAGAATTTTCCTGAAAGAAACAAGAAGAGGAGGCATGAGTGAATAAAGACGCTGGGCTTGACAGCTAGACATCACCTTTTCAGAATGTTGTCAACAGCAGTATAGATCTGCTTGAAGGACCTGACAAAACCGCTGGTTAGTCAACGTGATAGGAAATTTATGGTGAATCAAATAGTCATTACTAAAGAATTTCACCATTGAAATGTGAGACAAGAGGTTGATAGATGGAACAAAGGATAAACAATGTTACGAAATACACACTCAACACCAAAGATTCATATACTCCAAAGTACAAATTCTCATCGTTGACAAACATCGAGGGATTCTGGCATCTCCTACTGCATTTCCCATGGATAGGTGGATTATACTTCCTCTCTTGCGTGTTTCAAGAATTTTTCTTTCTGTTCATCCGTTCACCCAGGCACCTCCACCTCTTCATCCACTGCTTCCTCCCCGTCCCCGTCCACGTCCTCGTTCTCGTCCTAGTTCTCCTCGTCCTCATCCTCGTCCTCGTCCTCCTCGTCCTCATCCTCGTCCTCGTCCTCGTCCTCGTCCTCGTCCTCCTCATCACTCCTCGTCCTCGTCCTCGTCCTCCTCATCACTCCTCGTCCTCGTCCTCGTCCTCGTCCTCGTCCTGGTTGTCCTCGTCCTCCTCCTCCTCCCACCTGCCGTGGATGTCGAGGATGTACATGCCGCCGCTCGTTTTTTATAAAAGTTTTCTGACCATGTTTTAATAAACAGTAACAATAATATTTAAAAATCACAACAGAGTATTAATATTCAAATTATGTTGGAAATTTTGAGCATTGCAGATGAAATTTTCCTATTCAGACTACAATGATGGCGTAGAGGTTGCTTTGAGTTTTTTAGAATGTGGTACAGAAGTCCTCGAATACTTTTACATGGTACAATATCATAAAAATAGTATTAATATCTTTATCAACAGAATTAAAAATATTTTCAGTTCTGAATATTAGATACAGATTATACTACGACCATAAATATGTGGTAGTATAATCAAGCTTTAAATAGTTGTTGAGCGGCCGGTCACGCACAGCGGTTCACTGACCGATCACTTTGAGTAAAAGTGACTGACCAGGCTGCCGGGCCCGGCGGCGCCGGCCGCGGCGTGCCGCGGCGAGCCTCCGAGTCGACGGGACTCCCGGAGTTCCAGTCACGCGGCGATGACACGGGACTCCGGGAATTTCGGACCGTAGTTAACACACACTGCGGCTGGCGCACAGCGCCGGGCCCGGCCGCCAGCGGCTCAGGACTTGAACGGATCGGACTCACTGAGTCAGTCCGTCAGATGCATGCAACCTTGAACTTTGGATGAGATGACGTCGGGGGCACTGGGAGCTTGGGGACTCCGCGCCTCGCTCAGGGGGTGGCAGGCAGTACGGACTCAGTACATTAAGGTAGTGCGGTATTATCTCTTAGGTGGTGATGCTTGCAGAGCCGCACTGGTGGCAGCAGCAGACGAGTCTTCTTGGTTCGAGGCTCGGGGCTCCACTTGGTTCTCATGCAATGTCCGCATGTACTCACTGTCGGGGAGGACAGTGTTATCAAGAACCGCAGACGTCAAACCTTGCCGCGGCATCCGCTTACCTGTGCACGAGCTTAACTTTACCCCAGATGCCCTTGTGCTTCATCCTCTGTGAAAGATCCCGCGCTCGCTGGTTCAGTTTCTTCACCCGCCTGCCACCAGCATGAGGCAAGTGCGCGATCTCGATGTTACACAGGACCGATAGTTGAGCCAGTCTCGATGCCAGGTGGCGATCTGCTCACTCACGTTCTCAGGATGCATAATGCACCATGCGAATGACAGCGCAATCAAGATCCCTCGGATCGAGATCTGGACAACATCCCGCGAGATCAGTTGGAGGGCAGAAGCCGTGAGGCGAGGAGCATACATCAATACAAGTTGACCACAGCGTTGGGATGTGGAAGATGGGATTAGAAACCACCTTAGGCAAAGTGTCAGATCTAAAAAGAAGAAGGTGATCCTTCGATACTTCGTTTGTACAGGAGACCAAGAGCAGTGCTAGTAGAACAAGGACCATCTGGACTGTCTCGCGGGTATGGATCTGTAGAGACGAGAGTGTTATCAGCAACACAGCCTTCAGTTGAGTCGACAGCAATACATGACTCAGCAGAATCTGTAGCTCCTGGTCGATTCCTTTCTTTACCATGCTCCGAGCATATTCTTCTTCCCTGTTTGAAACTTCATGTTAGGTGCAAACGTCTGGCAGGCGTCTATATGTCACCGGCACCCCCCTCCTTTAGACAGCACCAGCCAATCCGCCGACTTATACAGAGACGAGTATTGCTGAGGTGAGACAACTTCGAGCTGTGCAGAAGCAGCGCTTGTCTTGAAGATTGCGTGCGACCACAGGGTCCAACTCACCCTGGCCCAGAAGCATTCATTCCTCTTCATAGATCCAGTGTCTTCTGTCACCTCACAGGAATATCTTCCGGTATCAAGTGGAAGAACTCCTCAGTCTGAATGAACTCTGAATGGAAAGGCATGGTCAAAAATATCATGGGCACTATGCTCACAATCAAAAGGTAAATACCCGGAGCCCCGATCTCCAAAGTCACACCTGGACGCGCTGAACTGATCGTCATGACGTAGCCCATGGCCCTGTAGTCCTCATGTCAAGCAATGACTGTATCGTGCTCGAGAAGAATGAACCTGTTTGGAACAAATCGATTTGCCAAAGTCTTCGCGGAAAATTTGTATCTGCCAGGCTCCTAGAAGGAAGATGAGAAAAGAACAAGATTGAACAGGGTTGTTCGACTAAGTTCTTACCCGCAATGTGAAGTCACCTTTCAGCCCCAAAGCAGGCACTCTGCTCTCCTCCTTCCAGACCTGCAATCATCTGAGAAAGGTTCCCTTCTCATCAACTCGAGCACACCGAGGCAACTTGTTGAGCTTCGCCCGAGGTTTGTTTGTCAGGCTGTGAAATTCAATTCTCTCAATAAAATGGAGTCATCCAACTACAAATTCAATACCGAGTCCATTCTGCCTCCAGATCCGTCGAGATCGATCTCTTGTTTGTGTTTCCTCTCCCACCACCATCCTCTTCTTTCAGCAACCATGTTATCACCGACCGGTGAGGACACAGTAGTGCTATGTTTTTCGACTGAGGCACTGGCAGCTTGCATGTTTTCAGTCTCATGGCATAGAATGTCTTCAGTGAAGTCAGAGGACATGGAATGGCTCTGAACGTCCTGATCCATTTCTCGGACCTTAGGGCGGAACCAGCTGCGATATGATGCATTGAAACTCTCAGGACTGACACAGTCAAGTGAAGAATCCTTCATGTCATCTTCAGCGCTAATCGTCGGTTGCTCCTGCATTGAATTTTCGTATTGACCAATCCTATGCTTTCCTGGCCTCATGCCCAAGAAACCCAAGAAGGTTTTGCTTGGCGACGTCCCGAGCTGCTCATCTTGCTGCTCATCATTCTCTCCTTCCATGGTATCGGATAGGTCAGAACTGGGAGAGGCCTCGATGCTTGACCCAGCAGGAGCACCGATGATTTGCATAACACTTGAAGGTAGTTGAAACAAGGACAGCTCGGCGCGTACTCTGGTGAAGATAGGAGCCGAGCTAATTTCGACTTGCAACTCCGCTCGTTCGTCACTAAGCACAGGCATGTCAAAGACAGTCTGCAGCATATACTGCTTGCAGGTCAGCTGATAGTCATCAGCAATCTTGTTTGTCATTGATGACGTGCAGTCAGAAATCACCAAACGAACATTGCAAGAAACAGAGAATCGCTGATTCTTTAAGAAAGAGCACCTTTCGAACATTATCAGCACATGTTGTAGTGAAGGTTGCGAGTTTACCGTAGTGAGATCAGACAACGTTTGCCAGAGCACTCCTTGATGTCTTTCTTGAACGAACAGATTCGACGAGAAACAACCAGATCTTCTCGCCAAAACTGAGACGCGACAGGGTTGTTTTCCCCGTACATTTTGGCCGCCTGTCACTTACAAGGCTGGCGTCCTTTCCATCCCATGCGTTGTCCTGCCCCCTCTGCCATTATGTCAGAAAGGCAGAAAGACTCTATTGATCCAAGGCACGAGTCCTACAGCGACCTATCTTTCACTGTTCTCAACCATCAAACTTTGTTACAACTGCTTCCTCACGCATCTTGCTGCTCCATACACACACACACACTATCTTGTACTCTCCCCGTGTCTCCTTTCATCCTGACCTCCTCTTCTCGCCCCTCCTCCTTCCTTTCCTCGCGCATTCCCTCCCCACACAAAATTGTCGACAGCATGCAACTTCGCACAAACGAGGCTGAGACGTAGCGGGTAGGTAGGGTAGTCATTGTACCCCTACTTTTAACAAAAACATTGACTTCCATTTCCACCCAGTTGCACCACATCGTTGACAAAGGGGGGTGGGGTCATGAACAGCTTCATTTCGCTGGAGCGGAGGAGGGGGATGAGGGCCAGGGATAGAGCGGGGAAGAGGGTTCACCTGCGCCATGGAGGGGACGACAGGCAGTGGGGAGTGAAAAATGCTGAAGCCGCCGAACGCGTTTGGGATCGTGCAGCAGGGACTGTACAGGTCAAATGCTCCTGTCGATGAGAACCTCCCTTTCCTCACTGGCCTCAATCTCAAGACCGTGCTCTACCTGTCTCCGGAGGTGTTGCTGAGAAGCGTGGTGGAGTTCTTCAAGGAACAGAACGTGGATCTGCACAACCTGGGGGTGCAGGCGTGGAGGCCTGATCCCCAATGGACGCCGATATGTGATGACTTCATCAAAGATGCCCTCGAGATGGTGCTCGATCATCGCAAACATCCTCTCTTGATCTGCTGCACCTCAGGTCCGTGCGGTGTTGCATGTAGCGAGTTCCAGTACGACTGATTCGCAGTTGACACAGGTGTGTTTCAAACGGCTCCCCTGGTTGGCTGCCTTAGGAGGCTGCAGAACTGGAGTCTCACGTCTATTCTCGACGAGTACAGGGCGTTTGCTGGGTTGAAGGCCAGACTTGTGCACGAACAGTACATCGAGTTCTTTGACGTGGACTTGGTCTCACTGCCAACGGCGGAGCATCTGCCGCCATGGTTCATCGACTACAATCTGGTTGATGCGCGCAAAGACCAGTACGAGATGGACCTGCTGGCTGTTCAGCTCGAGAACCTCAAGACGCGAGAGGAGCACTCAATGACGGAGGAGGAGAAATTGGAGATGCGCCTGATCGGCTTCAGGCTGCGATGCAGGGATGCGCAGCGGTCGACACTTCTTTGTTCTCCTGGGACAAAGATCACAAAGCAAAGCATCGTGGACGACGAGGACGACGATTAGATCCCAGGCGTGCGGATGTAGGGTGGTGTATCTGCAGTGAGGACGGTTATCCAATGACAACCGAAGACGATGATTGTGTCTTACTCAGCTAGCAGTAAGGTTCTAAACCTAGCGCTAGGTGCATTGCATGCATGCTCGCACTATCTGCATTCCTGTCTCCACATGTCATGCCTTCCATAGCCGCGATTGCCTTGCCAAGTGCCGCAGTGCCTGCATATCGAGTCAGTCGGATCGCCAGATATTGACACAGTGAAGAAGCTAGCCGAATCATCAGTTGGCTGGCATCATTATGGTCACTCGGCCCGTGACTCCAAGCCCGGCGGAGCCGGGCACTCAGCCTTGAAGTTGACAATGGTTTCAATGTGAATGACCGGCTTCGGAGAGCCTTTCGCCAGCCTTGTCGGACGGTCAATCGGACTCTATTATCGGACTGGACTCTATGATGATCGCCGGGACGCCGCCGGCCCGGCCCCCGCCCGGCCGGGCTTGGCACCCGTGACCGTGCCACCCGGCCGGGCGGTCCGAGCCGCCCGGCCTCCGAGGCTCGGCCCGGCCGAGGCAATCATTGATGGCCCGGGTTCCGACGGTTTGTACCGTATTAATATCACTTAACAAGGGTTCAACAAATGATTTTTAATTTTCAATGTCTGAATGTGATTTTGAATATAAATCGACAAGAAAGTTCAAATATAAATTTATTTTAAAATTTACTCAATTTGTTTCAGACTTTTTCCGAATTTCCCGCCTACCCCCCTCTGCCCGTCCCACACCCCTACCCTGACTCTCTGTATGTACCCCCTGATCCCCAGTACCCCTACCCCATGATTGATAGGTGATTTTACAGTGAAAACCCTACCAGATCCTTACCTGGCTGCTTCACTACCCCCTCTCCAAACAAACCCACCCCTCCCAATACAGGGTGGCCAAAATGGAGGGCGCGATGAATCTGCGAAAAGTGCGCGACGGCAGTATGGATGGAGGAGAAGAATGAGAGGGGGGAGAAGGAGAAGGAGGAGGAGAGAGGGGAAGGGACAAGATGTGTGAAGAGGATGAAAAGATAGAGAGAGATCGAGCAGAAAGCCAGACGAAGAGGGTCGATTCTGAGAACAGATCAAGATGGGTCGTGAACGAGGCGATAGGGGAACACTCGATGAGTGCTTGAGAGCCTTGAAAGTTGCGCTCATGAAATTGAAGAGAGACTACTCTGTAGTTGTAGAAAGAGATATCGCAGAAGCCAACAAGTAGAAGGGAGGAAGGATGCAAGCACCGCAGCTTTCGAACGAGTTCCATGTAGGTCTGGGCTTACGGAGAGGATCAATGTGGAATCATGGCAGTGCAAATACAAAAGATCTGAAGAGAAGGTGTACACATTTCTCGCTTGCGTCTGACATCATTCTCAGGCAGACAGAGAATTGGAGAACGGTCTTTTGGTGAATGGGAATGACCCCTGCATGGATTTTCGCAGATCGTAGAATCCCGATTGGAGTAGGTAAGAATGATTTATCACTTCCAGCTCTATCCGGAGATGACTATTCTTCTAGCAGAGTAATCTGAAGCCTTTGCATCGTCTGAAAACTTGCCCAGTTCTCCCAAGGATGAACACCATGTCTATCTTGTCCATTACGTGTCTGTTGTGCCTGCTTCCCCTTGTTCTCGGTATCCCCCAACCAGTCCCAAACCTCGTTAGTGGTCTTAGACTGCGAGGCTGCGGAGAATTTGACGTCGACTCAGAGATTTATCGCGCACAGTGGCAAACACGGCGTTCTTCGGACTTGATCGATTCGTACAACCACAAGCACAATGACAGGGCGGGATACACCGGGAGGCTCGATTCTATCCCGTTCGAGACTGACTCGAGGAACTCCTGGAAGTCAGAGAGCGCCTTGAAGGCTTCAAAGTGATTGCTCCCATTACGGGTTTACAGCTCCTCCTCACCTTTTCCTTAGGTCCCCGTACATGACTCCAAGAGCCGTGCAAAGAATTTCTGAGGCGGCGAATTCTCCTGCTCAACTTTCGCCGGCTTCGCCCGTGACGGACGAAGAGCAGCAATCTACGCACACACAGCCTGTTCAGCATCGGGTGCGCGATCTTGCTCTGTTGTTGTTGACTGAGACATCTAACGGCAGGTCATGTTTCGCGAGCGATCGAGCCCACACCCCATGACTCCTTCAGAGAAGGTTGTCAATAGAGCGCTTCAGCTCGACGAGACCCTGAGATCAACCGGGTATGAGCGAGATGAGGTGAGATAAGTTCTTGATGCACATGTGCACTCAACGTCTCTTGTTTTGTTACAAGATTCTATCCACTGCAAACGTCGAGAAGGCGGTTTTCAAGACTCCGCTCCCCCGTCCGGAAGCTCTTGAAGCGTATCACAAGGTAATAAACAGCCGATTTGTTGGGTTGTCACTTATTGCCTTCAGGACTATTCCGAAGATCTTATGGAGCGCAGGCCCCCAGTAGCGGACTACGGCAAAACCATTGAGAAAGATGTGTTTGAGGCCTCCCGACATCAGAAAAGCAAACTCGAGGTTCGCTCAAATTTCACAGGTATTGAGTTTTCTAACTTCAGCTCAGGAAATGATGGCGATCGCAACAAACCATGCCACGTCCACCACCAAGTCAAGCCCTCAGCAGAACAGTGTGAAACGGTACATTGATTGATTCTTCTCGCTTCCGTACGACTTCAGGTTTGATCTTGCAAACAGAATCAGCTTGAATACGAAGATGGATCAGGTCAAAGCAAGAGAAGACAAGGAAGAATACCAATACCAGGAGAGATATCAGCACCATGAAGATTCTGCTCGCTTGTCGGCGAAGCCTCAGCAACCTTCCATCGAGACCTCTTCACTCCCTGATGTGCTCAACGCTCACTGCGAAAGACTTTTCCGGGTTATCGGGGGTCTCGAATCGTCGAAACAGGCCCTGCAAGACGCAATCACTTGTTGGAGAGCTGAGGTTGACAGCACTAAGGTTTGTCATATTTGGTCACCAACGTGCATCACTGATGTCATTGCACAGAAAGCTAAGGGATCTCCTCTCAGAGACAATGTTGCCAGTGCCTCTCCCGATCGAGCCTCCCCGGAAAGGGTGGATCTGCGCGATCAACTGAACACCAGAGTTTCCCCTGATCGAGCGGAACTTTGCGACCAGCCAAACATCAGAGTTTCCCCGGACAGAGCGGAACTTCGCGACCAGGCCAACACCAAACCTGTTCGAAGAGGTATTTCCTCTCTTCACTTACAGCTGAAACATCCCTTCTCATTGGCGTTCCCTTGCAGAACAAACGGCAGTTGGTGCAAGGAGGCGACAGGCATCGTTGAATGCAACCCCCTCAACGGTTCGGAGGAGACTCGCCATGTGCCATGGACCTGACGTCTCTTTTTCAGGCTCTTATGGTTTTCTTTGCCTTGCCAACATGTTCGACTGCTTTTCCTCTCAATTCGCTTCTGACGTCCTTGCAGGCTGTTGGTATCTGCTCAGCAAAGTCATGCTCGGCTCTTTCCCGTTTGAGGTGAACCACAGGGGTGAGTGGGTGAACTACAACTTCTCGATTGCGTCGGCGTTTGCTCTCATCGCCTTCAATATGCTCAGCCCCCTCTGCTTCAATGCCCTCCTGTCGCTCTGCTTGTAATCTATGAAAATGAAAGATTTTCGAGGATGAGCTCTAGGGTGCGGCCAGAATCGCCACGATGGAAACATACATCGTCGAATGAACATCGCGTCTTTATAGTTTACATCGTTTAGTATGTTGCAAGCAGCAAGCAGAGGAGTATCGCGCTTGTGAAACTCAGCGTTGACCTGCAGGCACAGTCACTCATGCCCAGCATGAAGCATCGGGAAATACTCGCCATATCAGCATGTTGCTCTCCGAGCTGCAGGCGATCTCGTACTGCGACGGGTTCCCCAGACATTGAGCGCTGACAGGCATGTCAAACGAGATCGGACGGGATCCGGCGTTTCCAACCTCGTGTCGACCTTGCACGTGCTGTAGCAGTCCTGGCACGTCTCTCGACAAGTCTCGAAACGAAACTCACCCTGACGTCAACGGGTCATGTGGACGAAAGCAACTCAGCCGACTGCCTGTGACTTTTCATCCACGTAGAAGCACCGGGGGAACTGTTCAGCACACACATACCCTATACAACACCATGAGCATCTGCCCCTGACTTGTTGGCACGAGTGCCAGCCCAACCTTTGCATGGTTCATGACTGCATCCCAGCGCCTCGAGATCGGCTAGCTTGCTAATCGCCGCTCTGTTCTTCTTCCTGACCAGCTCGATGTCCCAATTCTCTTCGTTCCTGACTGGATACCTGTTGATGTGGTGAGGGTGCATGACAAGGGACGAGAAGAGAGCTGATAAGATCTCACTCTATCTTGCAGAAGCTTTTTGAAGCCGATCCTATCAGAGCTGTCACAACATCTGCTGACGTGCTGTGCACACGGGTGAGGAGGGAACAGCTGTGACGTCGCACACACCAGCAAGGATTCGTCTGGTTGCAGCTCGCCGGGTCGAACTGTGACAAGCCAGCAGCAGGAGCAGAACACAGGAAGAGGCAGAACGCCAAGAATGAGGCAAACTGCATGGCAGCACTGAAGCTCATGCCAGCCATTCTGAAGCGAATGTTCCTGTTGACTGTCAAATCATCAAAGTGAAGACGAAAGAAAGATTTCTGCTTCGTTCTCCTTCATTCGGCTTAAATATTCTGCTTCAACCTCCGATCAACTCCAGACTTCTACTCTCCAATTGCTAACGTATCCTCCTATTCACTTATATTCGATGAAATCCTGGGATGGGATTGTTTTGAACTCACTCTACTTTCGTCTCACTCTCCTGTTGTCTCCTGTTGTCCCTGTTGTCTCCTGCTCTCTCCTGCTCTCTCCTGCTCTCTCCTGCTCTCTCCTGCTCTCTCCTGCTCTCTCCTGCTCTCTCCTGCTCTCTCCTGCTCTCTCCTGCTCTCTCCTGCTCTCTCCTGCTCTCTCTTCCACCCTCCCTTCTTCTCTCTCCACTTTCTTCCTCCCTCCTCTCCTCCTCTCCCCTCCCTCCCTTCCCCCCTAGCATGTGAAGGAGACGCCGGTTGTCGAAAAAAAAGTCAAACAAGAGCAATTTATTACTCAACTTAAATTCAACTTCATTGGCTCTCTCTGTTTATTACGAGGCTGGTACATAAAATATTGACTTATTTCTATCTTACAAAGTTTTTATGAAAACATTCAATAAAATTTATTGAGTAATTATGATGAAAGAAAAAGGTCAATCTGAGTCGAGGAGGCGGCGGAGATGCCCATCCCGCTGATTGTGCCGGCGATCGCCGTGGTGGGAGCTGTTGCAGCTCCTTTGGGTAAGACAAGGAGGGGAGGGGAGAGGAAGAGGAGGAGAAGGGAGAGAGGAGAGAGGCTGGAAACAGGATACATCGATGAGAGGGAGCGAAGGAGGTCCTCGGAGGAGAGGAGAGACAGGGGGTGAGTGAGACAGAGGGTCAGGGAGGGGACAGGGTAGGATGCAGAGAGGCAGGTAGGTAGGTGGACAGTCAAAAATCTAAAGAATTCAAGTGTTGTATTCTTGCAGCATTGAATGTTAGACAAAGAAAACACGTTTTTGCTCAAAAGAATTTACTGGGATGATTGAACGAGATTGTGACAACCTTGTACAGTTGCAAACTGGCTCGCCAACGTGGTAGAAACGCGGAATTCATTCGGGGAAGATCTGAACAAGTACGAAGACGAGGGCAGGATTCAGACTTCAGACACTTATATCTATACATCGGTGAAAACGTTGTGTTTTGTTGAAAGAAGTCTCATCAGATATGATGTAGGTGAACGCCAAGTCCTCTACGGTAGATAAAATTGCCTCCCGAGAGTCTTGCTAGAAGCAGACATGAACGGAGGTTGAGCTCCTGTGACGCTCGCAATCCAATGGCCGAGGATTCAAGTTCATCGATGTGAACTGCTTTGAACTTTATGTACAAAGAAAAGGAAAAATGAATTTCTTAGTAGTGAATTCCAAGAGTGTCTGAAAGCCGCCTGGCGTCAGATATGGCACTTGTAAGGCAGCATCAACCATCACCTGCTATCAGTTGGATGGTGTCTCCGATCGCATGGATCAGCTTCTGAGCCTTGTCTGCTCCCCGAGCTCTGAAAGAACTATCAACATCCCAGCTGGAAGGTCAAGGGACGGGGGTATCACCCCTTTGCCCTCGAGAGTACGTCGGCAATGATCCCTCTATCCAGCGCCAGCTGCTTCAGCATCTACAGAGAGCTCAGACGCCTCTTTCTCCTCTCCCCTTTGTTCACCGAGTCCAGCAGAGCTCGATCCTCCTCCGATGGCTGCACCAGATAGTTCTCCTCTCCCTCCTCTACCTCCAGCACATCCTGCCATCCGTCAGAGCCGCACTGAGCTCTTGCGCTGCTTCCTCACCGCCTGGTAGTAGGGCTCGCTCAGCTGAATCTCGTCTGCGATCTCGTCATCTACCAACTCTCTGCCTTCGGACACCACTGACTGACCTTGCGGAGGTTCGCGGAGCGGAGGGTTGAAGGGATCCGAGTGAGCCTAGGAGATAAGGGCTTACTGTCCCTCGACGCCTCCCTCCCCCCAGACCTCCAAGGAGTCGCAGTCCTCCAGCCAAGTCCTCGGAGGAGACCTGGAGCCATTCTCACCCGGAGGCAAGGAGGAACCACAAAGGAAACTGACCTCCCAGTCACCAGGTGCAGCAGTTTCTGCGCCTCCAGGAGGTGCTGTATGCATGACTGAATCTCCTCTTCCAACCCCCCGTTCTCAGCTCCTCCTAGCGATGCAAACTCCTCCTCTTCTCTCCTCTAAAGAGCTCAAAGTCAAGGCGGCAGATTGGCAGCGAGCTAGCACGGAGAGCTTTACCTCCGACTCCTTCCTGCAGGCAGAAACACGTCAGCGGGCATGCCAGGGCGAGTCATGCGATTACCGAGACGACGAATGGTGGGAATGAGGTTGAACATGGTGCTCATGGACCTCTAGCGGATCTATGGGATCCAGTTTGGGAAGTTTCAGCCCGGCGCGAACCTTCGAGTCATCACTGAAAGTGATTCTCTCGATCATCGTGGAGTAGGTGGGGCTAGCAAGCGACCAAGTGGCGTCGATCTTCTCCTTCTTCAACATGAGGCCGAAGCATGCGAGTCCTAAGCGCAGAGCAGCGTCTGCCTGTGCCATCTCGGCCAACTTGCGGACTTCGCTCTCCAGCTGGGAAATCTGGACGCAACCTGACGCTTGGTTCCTCAACGACGCGATAGAAAGCCCTCTCAAGGCGTGCAGGGCTGTGCGACGGAAGTCGGACTGTTGGGAAGGATTGGCCTGCCGCATGATCACAGGGAGGACCCCGGCGTGCACGAGAGTGCAGTGAAGGTTTTCCTCTAAGAGCAGCAGCCCCAGAGCTTCTGCTGCCTGCGTCTGTACCCTCTCTGAGTTCTGAGGTGGGGGCAGAGCGAGGCGGATCAGAGCCTCATGCGTCTTGTAGAGCGAGCCCTCCTCGGCCAGCACCATATCCAGCCGGAGCTGGGCATTCTTGGCGATGCGCGCCATGGCGAGGGCGACGAAGAACTTGATCTCGTTGGTGGCGGCCTCGAACGCCATCTCATTGAGACGGCGGATCCCTCCCTCCGACACGATCTTAAACTGGAACTCCTCCTTGAGAGCAAGGTTCGCCATGGCGTTGCAGGCGTTCTTGCAGTCGTCGGCAGACTTTGAGTAGGACAGCGAGATCAGCGGCTGTATGCTTCCCTCCTGCAAGATGCACGCCAGGCTCGCCGGGTCTGCGCTGCTCATCGCAGCGATGGCGTCAGGCTGAGAGATCCTGGAAACCATCCCGGCGAGCGCGTGCGAGGACAGGCCTCTTCCCTGGTTGAATCGCGACAACTCCTCGATGTACTGGGCCCCGAGAGGCGTGTCTTGAGCCAGCCCGGTGATCCACTGGTGGGCCAGCGCCTGATCCCAGCTCAGCCTCTGCTTCGGGTCCACGACCAGCAGCCTTGCGATGAGATCCTTGGCCTCAGCTGATACATTGGTGAAGTGAGGCTCCACAAACGTGTACTCCCCTCTCAGCACGGTGCTCACGGCGGCCCGGAGCTCCTCGGGAGTGCGCCCGGAGACCTTAAAAGGTTTGATCCCGCTGAGGAGGATGTACAGGATGACCCCCAGGCTCCACATGTCCACTTTCCCGTCATACGGCTGGCCCACCAGAATCTCAGGAGCCGTGTAGCTCGGAGTCCCGCCCAGGGTCTGCTTCAGCTTCTCCAGCCTCCCCGGCAAGAACTGGGCGAAGCCGAAGTCGGCGATCTTGAGGGGGCTGTTCTCCGACATGTCGGCATAGAGGATGTTCTCGGGCTTCAAGTCGCAGTGTACCAACCCCCTCGAGTGCATGTGGCCTATCGCCTCGAGCATCTGCTTGACCACTGCCGCAGCCTCCCGCTCACTGAGCCTCCCCCTGTGCTGGATCCTCGTGAAGAGCTCGCCGCCGAGAGCGAGCTCCATGACCAGGTAGAGAGACGTCGAGGTCTCGAACCAGTCTTCCAGCTTGATGATCCCGACATGGTTCACCGACTGCAGCGCTCGGATCTGCGACCTGTCCTCCCTGGTGTGCCCGACACGCAGGACTTTGACAGCGAAATGTTTGCCGTCCGACCTCCTCACCGCCCTCAGGACCTCTGCATTCGCACCCACTGACTCCTGGGTCAACCTGCTTCCTATCTCGTAGTAGTCCTCGATGGACTTGCCTGTGGTGCTGGGAGCTCTGTTTGACGGCTCCATACCCTCATGCTCCTGGAAACATGCACTGCACATCACACGTTCAGCTCCAACCATGTGGGATGTCCCTCGAGAGCATGCGACTCTGCTGCCGAGACGCTAAGTTGGATGCACATTGATACATGCGAGCCCCTGGCAACGCACTAACTCCGACCTCTACGCTGTCGTTGCACTGAATCGTATACTCTCCCGTTACGTCTCCTCTATCTACCAAGCTTCAAAGCAAGTTGTCCTGCATCTTGTCTTTGCTTCCCTCCAAGGTCCGAACCATGATGATCTTGCTTCTGTGCTATCCTATCAGTTCTTGACCTGACTACAACCTACCGCTCCCCCCTTCCCTCTTCTGTACTCGCCCTCCTTCATCCTCCGCTGTTCCCACCCATACTCATCCCACTTCATTTCCTCCTCCTCCTCCTCCTCCTCCTCCTCCCATCCTTTCTTTCTTCCTCTTCCTCTGCTTAGTCTTCCTCCTAATCTTTCGCTTCTCCCTCCTCGCCATGTTATGATCTGCATTTTCCTATCCAACTTCCAAATGCCCGCCCACCCCTTCAATATGACCATTAGCATACCCCACCCACTTTCATGAGTAAAAGTACCCCTCCATCTGTATTCGATTTTTGTAAGAAAGGACCCCTACCCCCGGATTGGCGGAAGAAAGCCGAAACATGCAAACATGGTGTTGGTGATGACGGGAGGGAGGGCAGGGAGGAGAGGAGAGAGGAGGGAGGAGACAAGTCGAAGATGAGATGAGAGGAAGTCGTACTGGAGACAGAAGAGCGCCTGTGATGTGACGAGCAGAGCAGAGCAGAGGGCAGACAACAGGAGAGGAGTGGCGATTAGAGGAGCTGGCGAGAAGGGCAGGACAGAGGAGGCTTGCCGAATGGACAGAGAGCGATGAGAGGAATGCAAGAGCAGTGAAAGGAAAGTGATTGTGAAGGGGGGAAAGGAAGCAAAGCAAGTAGGACGAATGACGGTGCAGCCGGCGGAAGAGGAGAGAAGCTAAAAGCAAAGGCTAGGGAGACAACATGGCAGGAGGAAGGAACAAGGTAGTTGGGAACAAGAAAGCAGGGAGCATGAAGATGTGAGGAAGAGGAGACAGCAACAGGATCCAGGCAAGAGTAACGTGACAAGGACAACAGAGGAATCGTCATGGTCGATCCTCCGGGCAGCAGGGGACCTTATCAGCTGACCCGTCTACTTTGACTGCAGGGGGAGAGTCGAGGGGGACTTGGTGCGCACGATGGCCCCGCCTGCCGGAAAGAAGCAGAAGAAGGTACTGTGCTTGAGCTGTGATGCCGAAATTCACCTTCTCCTCCATCTTCTCCTTCCTCCTCCTCCTCCTCTTTCTCGTCGTCCTCGTCCTCGTCCTATTCCTCCCTCCAGCCGAACGACCAAGGAGACGGTGGAGCTACTGCCGAGGTCAAGGGGAAGGGCCAAGGTCAAGGGATCTATGATCAGGAGCTGGTGATCCCCTTCGAGCGGCAGAGGAGGTGCAGTCATTACAAGGCAACATGGATATGTTGTGATACACTATTGGCAGGGAGAGGAAGCAGACTGAGTTTTACAATCCCGAGAAGGTCTGCGCCAATTCGTTCGCCCCTTGTGCTGTTGGGTGACCCTTCCTGCCAGGTTGAGGTCGAGAATGCAAGCACAAGGTATCCTAATCCTCCGCCTCAGCCGTTTCCTCTTTCCTTTCCCCTTCTCCCTCCTCCTCTTCCTCCTCCTCCGCCTCCTTCTCCTCCGCCTCCTCCTCTCACACTTTCTCAGCAGGGAGAGGGAAGAAGAGGCCAACGCCCAGCAGGCTTCCGCCAAAGACTCTCCTGCTCCCAAGTCAGCGACTGGGAAGCGGAGCAAGAGCCTTGGGAGCATGCCCTCTCCGCTCCCTCGTGATCCCCCCAGCAACAAGCGAGCTAAGGCTGCGGATGCTGAGGCTGCCAAGGAGGAGCGGCACCAGGCAGTCAAAGAGGAACGCCAGCAGGCGGCGGCGGCGGCGGCAGCAGCAGCAGCAACAGCAACAGCAGCAGCAACAGCAGCAGCAGCAACGGAAGCGGCGACGGCGGCAGCTGTTACACCAGCAGAAGCAGCCCCAGCAGCAGCCCCAGCAGCAGGAGGAGCAGAGGACACACCTGCAGCCTCCAAGGGCGGCAAGGTCTCCCTGAGCATGTGCAAGAAGTGCAGCGCGTTGAGTTTGAAGCTGGAGCACTGCCTTGAGGAGGGGCATCTGTTCCTCACGCAGGAGGGAAACCCCCCAAAGTGCTGCTCGACATGTTTCCATCGGAGCAAGGGCCTGCTGTTCTGCTTCAAGAGGGGCCACTTGAAGAACCTGCGGAATGTGAAGGAGGAGAAGCAGGAGGAGAAGCAGGAGGAGAAGCAGGAGGAGAAGCAGGAGAAGGAGGAGGAGCCGCAGCAGCAGCACGAGCTGAAGGAGAAGAGGAAGGAGAGGAAGAGCGATAGCGCGCTGGTGTTTGAGAAGGATGCCTTGATGAAGGAGGCAAATGCTGGTCGATCGCTGCGCAGCAATCTGCGAGGAGAGGGTGAAAATGGTGAGCATAGGAGAGGAGCAAAGCTGCTGCTGCTGCTGCTGCTGCTGCTGCTTGTGATTTTCTTTGCTGAAAGAGATGCCAGGTGAAAAGAAAATTGAGAATGACACGCGAGACAGAGCAGCTCATCGTCCTGCTAACGGGAGAGTAGGTAGAGTTTTCAACACTCTTCCTCCCTCCTCTTCCCTTTCTCCCCCCCCTCCTTGTCCCCTTCTCCCTTCCCCTTCCCCTCGCCGCTCACCTGTCGTTCTGCACTCCGCCCTCTTCTTGGCCCTTATCCTATCCCCCTGCTATCCCCTTCCTCCTCCGAGAAAGCGATGTGGCTCTGAGACGATTCTACAGGGAAGAGGCGAGTCACACCGGCGAAGCCCGCGGAGGAGGAGGAAGAGACTGTGTGTGTGCCTGCTCCTGTAGCAGTATGGCAGCAGAGGGCAGCGGTGCACCTGTCAAGGAGCTCGTGCGAGCAGCTCCATGTTAGAGGGTGCCTGCAGCAGGGAGGCTCAGGAGGAGGAGGAGGAGGAGGAGGAGAGAAGGGGAAGAAGCATGTGAACAAGCAACTGGTGGCTGCGGTGATAGCGGAGAATCTGAGTGAGGTGGAGAGAGCGGTGAGCAGCGGGGCCGATGTGAACGCGCGCGATGCCCTACTGCATACTCCACTGCACCTGGCCTCCGCAACGGTGAGTGAACGGGATGGAGGAGGGGAGAGACGGAGTGAGGGCAGGAGGGATTGGAGGGGAAGGGAGGGAGGGAGA